TTTTAAACTACTGAAGTATTTAAACCTAACCAAATACAAGTATGCAAGAGATGAAACAAAAGTGTAAGTTGAACAATTATATATTTTAGGAAAACTCGTCTTTTTAATATTAGCTATATTTTGCAAATCGGCCAAAACTGTATTGTCTTACAGCTGCACATGTTGCATATAACTAAATACAACACTGGAAATGAGTGATAATTTTATGTTACAAAGGATAATTTTAAATAACCAACTAGTATTATTATTATTATTAACTTATAAATAAACACTTTGGGGCGGAGAACCACACTAACCCGTAATATTGTTATATTATAAATGGTTTTCATAAACAACAAGCTAGTAAATTTGTTACTTTGTGAAGGACATGGTAATAGGGTGACCATATCCTCGGGACAGTATCGTGTTTAGGTAGGCCCAGAGCAATGGGTGATACTAAAGAAAAATGCCATTTTCCCAACTGACGCTGAGTACCATGGGATGACCTGGGTCTCTTAAGAAATGATACTGTCCTGGAGAAAACTTAACTTGTAGTCGCCCTATGTGGAAATAATCAAAATAACCCCTTAACATTTCAATGTCATGAAGGATACAGAAAAAAGCAAAATAACAAGTAACATTTTAGTGTCATGAAAGTTACAGAAATTGCTAAATTAACCAGTAACATGTGTAGGTTTATGAAAGGCACCAGAAAAGTGAACCGGGTAACAATATTTATATCACAAAGGATGCTGTGGTAACAAACCTAACTGGTAACATTATTATGATACAAAGGACATAAAAAAAACACACAAAATCTCTACAAGTTTTAAATACAAAGAAAATTGGTATGAACAGTAATATAGTCTACTACTGTTCAAGATAACTAAAGGTTTAAAATCAAGAGGATTAACTTCACTGCAGTTTTATCCAGGGCCTTTTTCTCAAAAAAAAAAAAGGTGCTGTAATCACCACAAAGTATCTTAAATAAAGTGCCGTTACCCACTGCAAAGTGTCTAGAGCTGAAAAAATTGTGCCTCGAAAAAAGGTCGGTAGCTTATACCAATGCAGAAAAAACAAAAACAAAAGCCTTAGTTTTATCCTGTTTGGTGCAGTCTCCCAATACAACAACGGCTAGCCAAGAATGTCACATAATGCAGTGATGATCCATAGGGATCTCAATGAAAACTGCACATGTAAACAGAAGGATGCGGTCCATGTAGCAAACCCACAACCTTTAGAGTGCAAGGAAAACGGTTCGATCACTTTTTCATGAAGATCAACCAAAAGTGGCATCAGAACGATTTGAAACAATACCTCCAAAAAGATTGGAGCCTGGTGCCTCAAATCAGTGCAGTAGACTGTATGGCCATACTACGAGATGTGACTGTGAGTGGGTGTGTTCTGATTATGAGTGAATGTGTTCTGTCTATGACTAGATGTGTCCTGACTAGGGGTCGATATGTCCTCTGAGCAAAAAACCTCCAGACTCAGCTTAATGTAATCTCCTTTTACTGTCTAAGAAAATTTCTTAACACTGCATGTGCAGCTTACAATCAGATACTTTTCTGCAGGAAACAAATCTACAAAATACTGAGAATACAATCAGAACATTCAATGGGAGGCCTCCAAGAAGGTGAAAGAAAAAGGAAATGTCTGGACAACTGCAGGAATTTAATGGTTAAAAGACAAAGATGGCAGGAGAGGACAGATAATCACATAACAGGCATTGAAATGGTTAAACAACATGGTTGCGGACTGGATTCCATTCATGATATTAAAAAAGATTGCAGAGGATAGAATACAACTGAGGAATAGACTGCAAGCCATATGTGACATATATATGGTGAAAGAGGATGATGATGATGATGAAAACAATGATAATGATAACATCAGAAGTCCCACAAGACACAAATTTAAACCATAGTTAGCCCAGAAGCTCTCAGATCCCATTTTCAGTATCTCTGCTGGTGTGTGGCGACTAATAATACTAGTTCTGTGTTGGTTTACTATTGTTCTTTGGCTACCTGTATAGTGTTCCTGTCTGGTGACATCTCTTTTGATATTGAGTTTTTGCAAACATCGGCATGGTCCACTGCTTTTCCTGTGCTAGCAAGCCTATCGGCATGGTCCACTGCTTTTCCTGTACTAGCAAGCCTATCGGCATGGTCCACTGCTTTTCCTGTGCTAGCAAGCCTATCGGCATGGTCCACTGCTTTTCCTGTACTAGTAAGCCTATCGGCATGGTCCACTGCTTTTCCTGTACTAGCAAGCCTATCGGCATGGTCCACTGCTTTTCCTGTACTAGCAAGCCTATCGGCATGGTCCACTGCTTTTCCTGTACTAGCAAGCCTATCGGCATGGTCCACTGCTTTTCCTGTACTAGCAAGCCTATCGGCATGGTCCACTGCTTTTCCTGTACTAGCAAGCCTATCGGCATGGTCCACTGCTTTTCCTGTACTAGCAAGCCTATCGGCATGGTCCACTGCTTTTCCTGTACTAGCAAGCCTATCGGCATGGTCCACTGCTTTTCCTGTACTAGCAAGCCTATCGGCATGGTCCACTGCTTTTCCTGTACTAGCAAGCCTATCGGCATGGTCCACTGCTTTTCCTGTACTAGCAAGCCTATCGGCATGGTCCACTGCTTTTCCTGTACTAGCAAGCCTATCGGCATGGTCCACTGCTTTTCCTGTACTAGCAAGCCTATCGGCATGGTCCACTGCTTTTCCTGTACTAGCAAGCCTATCGGCATGGTCCACTGCTTTTCCTGTACTAGCAAGCCTATCGGCATGGTCCACTGCTTTTCCTGTACTAGCAAGCCTATCGGCATGGTCCACTGCTTTTCCTGTACTAGCAAGCCTATCGGCATGGTCCACTGCTTTTCCTGTACTAGCAAGCCTATCGGCATGGTCCACTGCTTTTCCTGTACTAGCAAGCCTATCGGCATGGTCCACTGCTTTTCCTGTACTAGCAAGCCTATCGGCATGGTCCACTGCTTTTCCTGTACTAGCAAGCCTATCGGCATGGTCCACTGCTTTTCCTGTACTAGCAAGCCTATCGGCATGGTCCACTGCTTTTCCTGTACTAGCAAGCCTATCGGCATGGTCCACTGCTTCTCCTGTACTAGCAAGCCTATCGGCATGGTCCACTGCTTTTCCTGTACTAGCAAGCCTATCGGCATGGTCCACTGCTTTTCCTGTACTAGCAAGCCTATCGGCATGGTCCACTGCTTTTCCTGTACTAGCAAGCCTATCGGCATGGTCCACTGCTTTTCCTGTACTAGCAAGCCTATCGGCATGGTCCACTGCTTTTCCTGTACTAGCAAGCCTATCGGCATGGTCCACTGCTTTTCCTGTACTAGCAAGCCTATCGGCATGGTCCACTGCTTTTCCTGTACTAGCAAGCCTATCCACTCATTCATTTCCTCTAACATGAGTGTTCTGGAATAAAAATGAAACTGGTTCCTGTCAGACAAGATTTCCTCAGAGACTCTACAAATCTTCTTTGAACCTCTCCTGTTTTGATCTTCTTAAGCATGTTCATGGAATCAGAAAGCATGCATGGGAAAAAAAATAATGAATAAAAATGAAACTGGTTCCTGTCAGACAAGATTTCCTCAGAGACTCTACAAATCTTCTTTGAACCTCTCCTGTTTTGATCTTCTTAAGCATGTTCATGGAATCAGAAAGCATGCATGGGAAAAAAAATAATGAATAAAAATGAAACTGGTTCCTGTCAGACAAGATTTCCTCAGAGACTCTACAAATCTTCTTTGTACCTCTCCTGTTTTGATCTTCTTAAGCATGTTCATGGAATCAGAAAGCATGCATGGGAAACCAAAAATATGTGTCTCTGGCCAGGTCATTGTCTTTGCTACTGCCATCAGGTGTATTTAATAAACAAAAATATCAAACATGTAACATCCAAATGATAGCTATGCTTCCCTAAAGGAGCAAAATATACTTTAGCCATAGCCAGACACCCAGAAAAAGATGTCAGCTAGCAAATCTACTATCCGCCTGATTTTTTCTACTTTCATCTACATCGACGAGAGCTAATCACTCAATACCTGTGGTTCTAATTTCCTTATAATTTTAATGGATATAATTACAGCACTGGCAGCATAAAAAATTTTTCTTAAAGAAATTACTAAATCAGTTATTTAAAACTGAAATTTTAAATGCTAGCTATGTGTAATTTAAATGTAGACTTGCAGCATTGGACTAATATTTTGCGGTTCAAAACAACAGGCATGCTTGCTACTTTCATACATAATGAAATACAACAAACTGTAAGACACATGCACAGAGCAAAGAGGCAGATTTTTTCAGTGTGACAAGTTAATCTTGGAACACTGGTCAGTATTCTCAGTTAAATGTAATAAATATAGAGTAATAAATCACCAATGAAAGACATTGCTCACATTACATTCTGAATGAGCATATCACCATGTGTAATAAATATATAACAGCAATATGAATAAGAGCAGAGGAAACAGGACTGGCTCTTGGGATGGATCTTCCAGGAACTGACTTTATCTGGTAGAGGTGATGTACATAATCCAACATGTACATCAAGGGAGTCCATTTCCGTGGCTTTCAGACATTGGTATGAGAGTCGCACCATGGAAGAAATTAGGATTTCACCATATAATCTTCCTAAACTTCATTAATGTTTATATTCCGGTTGTCGTCACATGAATCAGTGATTCCTCAAAATTAAATCACTGCAATTTTTTAAATGTACAACGCCATTTTCTAGCTGCACTGTAGTAGAGAAGTGTTGCTCTCCGGGGTCAAGTTTACACTGAAAATGAGGTGCCTAGGCTCTTAGAAATCAGAACAATGTCTCCAGACAAGCACTTGAGTGACAGACAAGCAGCAGAAGGATGTCTACACAATGATGTCTGCATAGTGATGTCTGCACAGTGATGTCTGCACACACTGATGTGTCAGGACAAGCCCATAAGCTGTAGACAAGAATCAGACTGGTCACATTTCTTAAGTCTCTCCATCCATAGGTTACACATCACTGAAAAAAAAAAAGATTAAGCTGTAAGCTGTAGTAATCATGCATGAGAAGGTAACTGAATAACTCATTTGAGTATACTGTGTGGGTGATGAGCCATGACAGGATATATATATATATGTCTGTCTGTCTGTGTGCGTGCGTGCATGCATATGTGTGTGAGTGTGTGCGTGTGTATGCATGTGCATGCGTGCATGTGTGTATGGTAGTCTATTACATGTAAGTGAGTGAGTGCACATTTTGTAAGTTTGAAAGAGAAAGAAAGAGAGAGGGAGGGGGAGAGAGAGAGGGGGAAGAGAGAGAGAGAGAGAGAGAGGGGAAGAGAGAGGGAGGGAAGAGAGAAAGAGAGAGATCAAGCCTTCTTTAAAAGTACAAAAACTCTCCTTTTAAAGGCAGAGTCCATCTGCCTGAGAGGTGCGGGACCAACAGTCAGCATACAAATAAGCCAGATCTGTAAAACAAATGTGCACAAACTCTGTAGCTCCAGTGATAATCTCCATGGATCTCCATAAAAACTGCACCTGTGAACTGAAGGACCCATCTGTGAAACTAACCCATGACCTTTGGAGCACGAATCACATGATCTGACCACTTTGCCATGGAGATCCCCTGTTATAAAGAAACATTTAGATCTCCTTCTCCAAAAAAGAGGCTTAATGAGGTTGAGGTGGCAGAGTCTTGTATGATCTCTCTTGAAAACTGGTCATCACTGGGGAAGAATTATGTCTCCCTGTTCAGGTCTTTCATCCAAATTCAAAAATAACAAACCACTTCCCTCCCCCCCCCTGTCCTCTTACAAGCATGACATAAAAGGTAACTAATTCGAGGTGTTTCCTTCAAAGTTGGGTACACCTGCCTGAGAGGTGAGGAACCAACAGTCTGCACACAAAGATGCCAGATGTAAATTTAAAAAAAAAAAACAGATGTGCACGTAACTCTCAGATTCTGGAATAAGACCAAAGTCTAGAAGTGGACAAACAACCAGAAATTTGTATGAGGTCAGAGCTTTTATCTTTCTCTTGTCATGTTATTACAATGTATCTTCACCTGGATTATTAGGGGAAGAAGTGTGTATGTTCAGAGTTTATACATCATCAATTAGAACATGAGAGGAAGATCTGAGCTTATTCTCCCTTTCAAATCCAGCTACGACTTGCTGCAGCCACGGTCAGTGTTTGTAGCCGGGCAGTTCCCGGGGTTCACCCAGCCTCTAGGAAATGGGTACCAGAGTTGACACTCTGGGGTAAATGGAGGAACGTCGCTGTAGCTATGGAGTTACGTGTGGACAGCGACACAGGTGGACAATTTCTTATCTGCTGTCCGTACTGGGGGCAGAGCTCTTATGACTGTGTGCAATGACACTGGTTCATATCTCCCGACTTTACCTTTACCTTTAAGTTTATTGAAAATAAACACCTACTCAACAATGGATTTAAAAATATCACACATTAAATCTCCCTTCCCCCCTCTTTTTACCCATCCCCTTTCCACTCAAAATGTTTAATGAAGCAATCACAGGAAGTTTAGACAGAAAAAAAAAAACGATTAGAAGGAGAATTTAAAAAACCTATCAAAATTAATACTAAAATTACTTACGATGATTCTACATTAACATCAAACAGAATCTGATGCTTTATCTTTTTCATCCGCAGGATGTCTAAATGAGTCAACTTCCTATGGAAATTCTCTGGAGTTACAGCAACTGAAGCTATCCCATCAGTCATCTGACTGACCTGTAGACTGTTGCCAAAGGTTTCCACTAAATCAGATGTTGATTTAGATTTGGCATGCTTGGAATCAGTTAAGTACGAACTGGGTTCGGATAAAAAAGATCTAGTGCTACCACCATCAGTGAAATCAAGTCTGCCGTGGATATTTCTTTCATCATTAATTAATAACGGCTTTGGAGGATCAAGTTCTGTGAGGTGGCTGTCGACCAAAACATCAACATCACAAGCATAATCATTCCTTTCACTGGTCTCTACTGTCAGGTGTAGTGAGCCGTTAGAACTGACACCGCTTGATGACTGATAACTCTGAAAGGAGTCTGTGCTGAAGACTGTGGAGCCTAGATCATGAAAGTCAGACAGCTGGACATCTTTCCTTAGAGAAGACCATTTCTGGATGCCAGGATCTTTCTGAGAATTAAGTATGTCTGGAATTTCATCTGCTGTATGGTAACGTTTTTCTGTTCGCCGAGAGTTGAGTTTTGTGTTTACAGTGGCTTGTTCAGGAGAATTTTTCTGGACAGATTTTGTTGCACGTGGATCTAATTTGTTAGAGTGCATCTGAGAGGATTGCCATTCTTCTTTTGCCATTTCTTTAAATCTACTAGATTCATCTGAAGCTGTGACCAGATATGGAGGTTCTGAAACAATGCTATTTATGGACATGTTAATGTTGCTATTCTGGTCCATACTTTTGCTAGCTGACATTGAAACTGAATGAGCAGGCTTGCATTTGTTAAGATTTCCATCCACTACTTCCATGTCAGCATCTTTGGTGACTGGAGAATCACATGCACTAGATGAGCGTACCAGTTTCATGTCTGCTGGCTTATTCTGGCCATGTGATTCAGTAGATAAGCTAGAAGCCATATTCATAAAATCTGGCATGGAATTTGAATGACCAACTTCTGATCGATTCATATCTGCAGCCCTGGCTTCATTACATGTCAAAACATTGGGCACAAAATGATCAAGTGAATTTGAGCTTTCTGAGCGAGGGATTGTAGAAGTGACAATATCAATGTATGATAATGCAGATGACACTGACATGTCATCAAGGTCACTTTGGGTCAAAGTTGTATCTGAGCGAAGACGATCTGTCTCTGAGTTCTTCTGGATGTCTTTTGCCTTGAACTCTCTCTAGGAAAAAAATAATGTAAAGAAAAAATATAACCAGACAAAAATATATCAATTTATTCTTTTCATTCTGTGCCCCCTCTATCTCTCCCCTCCATTAATCTTCATTCACACGCAGCTTTTTTAGACAAAATTCACATTTTAGACAACATTCACACTGACATTTAAGCAACATTCATATTTGATATAACATTCACATTTGAGACAACATTCAGATTTAGAGAACCTTCACATTTTAGACATTTACATTAATATTTTAGACAACATTCACATTTACTTTTGAGACAAAGTTAATATTTTAGACATAATTCACATTCACATTTTAGACATTAACATACTACTGCTTTATTTATAATTCTTGTCTCTGTACACTTTAGGTTTCCCATTCACGTCATTCAGATCATTTGACTGATTTGATTTGATTCAAGAACCGACATCACAGCACTCTGGGCATTCCCATAAGTGCTCTGTCCCCATCTTCAGCAGCCAGCGAAGAGTTCCGATACTAATGGTGCCAGTAGCATTCTGATTAAACGTCCGTCTTGCCTTTCCTCTTAGTCTCGAGCATCTGCCAGAACCTCTTGTCACTCCCAGCTGCATCAATCTCATCAGACTGTGGTGATCCATCTGCTCCTCCGAACTGTACACGCTCTCTCACAAGGCACTAACCACGTCTGATCAAGAACCTCTTAGGGAGAAGTGACCAACTTATGGCACATTAGAAAAATTTGTAAAATGGATGTGCATGCAACACTTAGGTTCTGGAACAAGACTAAAGTCAGGAGGTGGCCGGAGGACTGTGACACCGACTTCCTACTGAGAGGACGTGTTTTTTTCGAGCTCTCACTTTTTGGATTTATTATTCAGTTTGTCTTAGTGAAAGAAATAATATTTTTATATCACTGTGACCGTTATCCTGTCAGTTGTGCCGTGAAATATTTTGAAGTGCTTTACTTATCAACACGCGATAAAAATGTCAGATTCTTCAAGTAGAGAGTTTTAACAAGCATTCACACACTGTATGGAAACAACAGGTATAGCGTTTAAATGGGCGTGTATCTTCACTGAAATGTATCACTGACACCCGATACGCGTTGGCTCTCCTCCAAACGATAAAACTGGACAACGGAACAAGCTGAGACAAAAAGGCACATTCCACGGTAGAATAAAAATCGGACGTTTCAGTCGCATTATTTTCCATCCAGCAGCAAACACAGTGACAGAATTTTTCACACCCCTTCTGCCTGCTCCGTGGAGAAAAATGTGCTGACCCCGTTAACTCTTTTTGACCCAGGCGGGTCCGGCATTAAAATAACAAATATATAACGTGTGTTAACATACCTGTGAAAAAAAAAAAAAAAACCACTGTAAAGCAGTTTATTGACCCATTTCACTCAATAAATGAAGGGAGATCAACATCTTCACATCGAGTCTAGAGAAATTAGCGAACACGTTTAAATTATCTCCCCCCCCCCCCTTTCATAATGAAGGAGCCAACAGGATATTATCCACGGAGCCCTGGGCGTACCCGACTGAGAACACCCCAGTCTCTCGGCTTCCATTTCACTTGCTGCATTCACTTCACACGGCCCCACCCAGCGACAATCATCTATGGACAGTTAACAGCGGAATTTTTGAAGGGGGCACAAAGTCGTCAACATCACAGAAAGCCAGTAACAAGGTTACCATGTGTAACTTGAAACTGGTCGAAAGACATTCTACTAGGCCATCAGATGAAAGGGTTTATTTTCTGGACCCCCTAGGAGCCGGACACAGAACAGTCTCTAGGATAGGAGACTAGCTAAAGTGCATTCAACTTCATCGAATCAACGCCGTTCGGATTTTCACCTTTATTTTTCGGCAACAGACAATATCTGTGTCGGGCCCTCAAGGAAAAACACTTGACAGTTTTGATGCCCTGCCCCACACCAACTACCTGGATTACAGTATAGAAGTATTGTTGAACATTTTCCCTCCTGGAGGAATTAGTCATTTAGTGATCTCTCTCTCTCTCTCTCTCTCTCTCTCTCTCTCTCTCTCTCTCTCTCTCTCTCTCTCTCTCTCTCTCTCTCTCTTCCTCCTCCTCCTCCTCCCCCTCTTCATCCCTCTATATTCTTGTATGTGTACATGTGCCTCTTTCTCCCTCTCTACTTTGATGTGGGAGTACCTGTAAACTGTTAATTACTGTTATTTCTTGTCACAATTATTATTGGTATGTGCAAGTGTTAGTAAGCATGTATACATAAAAATAGTTTTTTTTTTTTTTAATGTATGCTGGAACATATGCACGGGCTAATGTTATATGACAGAAAAATGACAAATTTTGTACACCAATAACACACAGGTGTCAGCATGTAGGGAGTCGGTAGTCCAGAACCCAAGTTTAAGGCGTTTCCTTCGTGCCAATAAACTGCATGGCTGTCGGGGAGCACAGTCGTTAACGAAGGCAGTCATGATGTACAGGAGCGACATCTGGCTGATGGATGTTGCGTCCCTAGTTCCTTCCCCAGCACGAGGCTCTACTGGGGTGACCGTTATTAAGCCCTCACTTTTGTATTAATTAAACCCTGGGCAGATGAAGCTCAAAAGCCCTGAAAGGCAATTCATCTACGTGAAGGACACACCGAATGCCAAACCACCACTGCCTTGTGGGAAGTTCCTGTAAGAACAAAGGCTAGGGCAACAAAGCCCGACAGAAAATGTGGGTAGGCAGAACTCATAAGCCCTGGAAGGCAATCAGCCTATGGGAGGGGGAATCCTGAAAAAAAAACCTCAACCGTCGAAGTCGGAAGATGTCAGCCTACTTGGCACGGGACTAAAAATCGGGCATCTACGCACTAGCGATATGGTCATGCAAACAAAACTATCACGTTATGGAGTCATTCCTATGGGACGTGGACGGGTAGGGATGGCGCCGGGCCCTCAGCCTCGAGGGGGCCCACCCCAAGCTACTAGAGCCACAACCTCTGAATCTTCTGGAGTGACCAGGGAAGAACAGAGTAATGCAACTGGACACAAACTGACAATTATGCACTGGAATGCTGAGGGAGTGAGGCTGAAGAAAACTGAACTACACAATTTCTTGAAGCAAAACGATATCGACATATGCTGCATCCAAGAGACTCACCTCACAAGTGCACACAGATTCTCTATCAGGGGATACCAAATCTTCCGACACGACAGGTTAGATCGTCCAAAAGGAGGAGTCTTGACTGCTGTCAAGAACACGATCACAGCTTGGGAAACCCAGAGATCTCAGTGTGGGGATACAGAGTTTATCACAGTCACTATTAAGGGTGCAAGGGAAGATGTGACAGTATGCAACATCTACTCACCACCAAACAGAGATATTAATCTGGGACCCATCCTACTAAACACAGAAAAATGGATTGCTGTCGGAGATCTAAATAGCCACTCACCTAGCTGGGGTTACACACACCTCAATGCGAAAGGAGAAGAGGTAGAAAACTGGATAATCAGCAACACTCTAGTTCTGATAAATCACCGTGACGACCCAGACACATTCTACTCTCGAGCTTGGAGGAAAACCAGCACTCCAGACTTGGCTATAGCAACTGAAGATGTGGAGAAAGTTACCAGCCGGGATGTATGTCAACAGCTGGGAGGCAGTGACCACAGGCCCGTAATCCTTTCTATTAACAAAAGTAGAGAAGTTACTAAGGAAAAGAACCCTCCCAGCTGGAACTACAAGAAGGCTAACTGGAGCCTTTTCACTTCCTATTTGGACGACATGTTGAGGAGAGTCTTCTTCAGAAGACTGGAAATAAATGCCAAACTGAAGATCCTCAACACAACTATTCTTAATGCAGCCAAGGGTAACATACCACGAGGCAGCAGGAAAAACTTTAAACCTTACTGGTCGCCTGAACTGGACACTCTGCATTCCAAACTTAGTACCAGGAGGGAAAATATGGAGAAGGATCCGACAGATAAAAATGTAATACTTCATAACAGAGCAAAAGCAGCCTTCGTCAGAGAGAGAAATAATCAGATGAGGGAAAGCTGGCACAAAAAGACAGCGTCATTTAACCTCGAGAAGGACACTTCACGTCTGTGGAATCTCACAAAAAGCTTGAATGGAGACAAGACGGAAAAAGCCAGAGTTGTACTCCAAACAGACGATGGATCGTTTACTGGCAAGGTAGCAGCAGATGTGCTAGCCGAAACACACCAGAAGGAAACTGAGGTTCATATTCCCATGCAAAGAATAAAAGAAGTACGAAACCAGACCAAGACTCTTCTAGCAGACTTTAGCACAAAAACAAAAGAGGCCTGCATGTCAGAAAGGTTTACCATGCAAGAGCTGGAAGTTGGAATTGGAGAGTTGAAAATGAAGAAAGCCCCAGGGGCTGACGGCATTACAAACGAATTTCTCTCTCATCTTGGACCTGCTGCCAAGAAGTTTCTCCTCTGCATCTACAACCAGAGCTGGCAAAAAGGGGTAGTACCGTCAGCCTGGAAGGAAGCCCTCATCCAGCCTATCCTTAAAAAGGGTGGAGACAGAAGAGACCCAAAAAACTACAGACCTATTAGCCTTCTTAGTTGTGTAGGAAAATTGATGGAGAAATTAGTAAATAAAAGACTAATATGGTTCCTGGAGACAAACTCAGTAATCACCACCACCCAGACAGGATACAGACAGCACAGAAATACAGAGGACCAGTTGAAATATCTGACACAGGAAATTGAGAATGCCTTCCAGGAAAAAAAGAAAGTTCTTGCTGTCTTTTTTGACCTCTCTCGTGCTTTTGATACAGTTTGGAAAGAAGGCCTACAACTAAAACTGCTACAGGCAGGAGTTGTGCACAACATGTACAAGTGGATCAAAGACTTTCTTTTCCAACGCAGAGCCAGATTCAGAATTGATGGACACATTGGCAAACTGGCAAAACTTAGAGAAGGAGTTCCCCAGGGCAGTGCTATATCACCAACTCTGTTCCTGGTTTACATTAATGATATCACAGCAACCTGCCACCAGCACGTTTCTAATACCCTACATGCCGATGACTTTGCAGTTTGGACAGCCTCCGAATACACTACCACAGCCTCATATCTGTTACAAAAAACTGTGGAAAATGTAGAAGCCTGGACCGAAAAGTGGGGTCTAAAGCTAAATAAATCAAAAAGCACAGCATCACTTTTCTCTCTCTCTCCCCAAAAAAAGAAAAAATCGAAATTTGGATTAAAAACCAGCTCATTCCACAGACTGACACTCCTACCTTTCTGGGCGTTACACTTGATTCGCGACTAACTTGGAAGTCACATGTAGAAGCAGTACAGGGAAAAGCATTCAAGAAGCTTGCAGTTACGAAAAAATTAGCGGGTACCACATGGGGCGCTAACTCTAGAATCCTAAAACAAGTATATACTGGAGCAGTCAGGCCAGTCATGGAATATGCCTCCACTGCGTGGGCTGCAGCAGCCAAGACAACAATGGGAAAACTGGACAAGGTTCAGAACATGGGATTAAGGATTGTTCTCGGAGCCATGAAAACCACCCCCATCAGAGAAATAGAAAAGATAGCAGATACTGAACCACTCGAACTCAGAAGACAATACAAAACTCTTTTACAGTATGAGAAATTAAAAAGACTTCAAAGTCACCCACTGCATTTTAAATTTCAAGAGAGAACAAAAAACAGACTGAAGCGTCAGAGCCCCAACCACCTTGCTAGAGAACTGTACAGACAGCACCAAGATCTGCTTGAAAGAGATGTTGCACTGTGCGAAAAACTCAGGCCAGAACCATGGACAAGCAAGCCAGAGAAAGCAAATGTAGTCCTAAAGGTACCAGGAATCACTTCAAAAGATGCCCAGACGGAGACACAACAGAGAACCCTGGCTCTTGCTATGCTTGATGAGAAGTATCCAAACACCACTTGGACTCAGGTTTTCACCGACGGCTCTGCTACAGATGCAGTCAGAAAGGGGGGTTGTGGAATTTACATTAAACCCCCTAGCAGTAGAGCAGAAACTCTCTCTCAACCAGCAGGTGACATCTGCACTAACTTCAGAGCTGAGGCAACTGCTCTCCTCTCTGCAGTCCAACATCTCATCACTCAAGAACACAGAGGGCACCAAATTGTTATACTTAGCGACTCATTGTCTGTTCTCCAAGCACTATCCAGCAAAAAACAAGACAAAATAATTGCTGATCTAAGGACCAACATTGGCTTACTCTCCAAGGAAGCAGAACTGGTCTTGCAGTGGATACCAGCCCACTGTGGTATTCAAGGAAATGAGAGAGCAGACGAGTTGGCAAAAGCTGGAAGTAATCTTCCACAACCTCATCCACCACACAGCTACAAGGAAACCAAAACAGCGCTAAAGCAGTCTTTCAAGCGGGAGTGGAGAAGGCAGAATGGAGATTACAGACCAGAGAGTGACAGCATAAACAAACTCAACAGGAAAGAACAAACATCAATTCTTAGACTTCGGACTGGACACTGTGGTCTTAGAGCACACATGTACAGGATAGGCATAAAAGAATCTGCTGCCTGTGATTGTGGAGCAGAAAGACAAACCCCTGAACACATACTGCAGTACTGCCTTTACCTCTCCCAGCAAAGACTGTGGATCTGGCCCAAAGGAGCCACATTGCAAGAGAAGCTATGGGGGACCGGTGGCGACCTTAAACGCACAATCCTATTTGTGACCCAGACGGGACTCAATGTTTAGCATGACTGATATCGAACGCAGAAGAAGAAGAAGAAGGAGGTGGCCGAACAACCAGAAAATTCCACTAGAGTTTACAACCAGTGAATGTGAAGAAAAAGAAGAGACTGGTAATTGTAACTGCAAGGATACCAACAATTGGCCAGGTCTGAAATACTTCCAGAGAGGCACCATGTTGACTGAAATATTAAATTATTCTACACCTCTTGTAACAACAGGAAACAGACCAAATAAGGAATTGAACAAACATGCAACAAGATCTACCTGCCTGTTCAAAATGAAGCTACAGGGCTCTTCAAAGGAGAAGAGCAGAAGAGGCAGACCAAGAAAGAACTGGATACACAACTTGGCTGACTGGACTGGGCTTAAACAAGCAAACATCAAGTCTATTGCATGTAACCATCAAAGGCAGAGGGAACTGATCAGACAACAACAACTGGTGACATGTGGTTAATGGATCTATGATGATGATGATGATGATGATGTGAAGCTCAAGAAGATGATAAAACAAGATGCAGAAACACAGGTGCGCACAAGGCTGCCTTTTGGGGGAAAAATAAAAGAGCCACTGATCCTTTACAAGCATGTCATTAAAAGGTAATAAATTAGGAGTGTTTACTTTCAAGTTGGAGTGCATCTGCCTGAGAGGCGAGAAACCAACACTCTGCATATAAATAAGCCAGATCTGCAAAATGGATGTAAATGCAAAACTCAATGTTTGGAACATGATTAAATACAGAAGTGAGGGAATTATCAGAAATTTTTATCGGAGTTCACAGCTGGTGAACACTAAGAAGAAAAAGAAGAAGAAGAAGAAGAAGAAGAAAAAAAGAAGAAAAAGAAGAAGAAGAAGAAGAAAAAAAGAAGAAGAAAAAGAAGAAGAAGAAGAAGCAGCCGCAGCAACAGCAGCAGCAGCGTCAGCAGCTGCAGCAATATATTTTAAAAAAAAATGTTTTTGTCCGGACAGTGTAAAGCTACAACATATTCTTAATTACTTTCAGTGGGTGATCCCAAGAAGGTCAGTGGCAAGACACATACATGCCTGTCAACACCATAGTCTAGGGTTCAACACCACATCAAGGCAGATTTGTATAATTAACCTGGCCTTTCAGGTCAACCCAGTTTAAAATGGGTTTCAGGCATGGCCAGATTTATACATGATGAGGTCCTAACCTATATAAAATCTTGAGGTCCCTATTGTTTTAAATTATACCAGTAAATCTAAGAAACTTAAAAATCTATATTTACCTATTAAATATGGGGATAATGGAAATATACTGTCGTTTAATTTTTTTTCCTTAAAGAAAGTGTTTGCAAAATCACATAAATTAATTTAGATAATCATTAAAAAAATTAAAAACTTAATAAAAGAAAACCAAACTAAAAATATATTAAAATAAAAATGCCTAAATCCAGCACTGGTCACAGGAAATATCATGGGAAGTAAAAGTGGTCATTATGACAGTGATCACATCCTCCATTTAGTGTCAATTGGTCTAAAAGAATATGGGTGAGCCAGGGCTTTTTTTAATGGTGGTATGCAACAGTACACAGTACCGGCACATCTTTTTTCCAGGCCCGAAGTGTTTCGGCTCTACTGCAACAGACACTTTGTTGTGAGTACTGACACCTTTTATTTTGTGGAAAAAAAAAAGACCCTGTGTTTAGCACAATGCACCAGTGGGAGAACTGATAGAGATATTAAAATAAGAATACAAAAGGCAAGAGGAGCTTTCATAGCACTAGAGAATTTCTGGAGGCCAAAAGAAATTAAAAGAAATACTAAACTTAAAATTTTTAATTCAAATGTTAAATCAGTACTTCTTTAAGGGGCGGAAACATGAAGAACAACTAAAGCAATTACTAATAAACTACAGACATTCATTAGCTGGTGCCTGCGCAGAATAGAGGGAATTAAATGGTTTGATAGAATCACTAATGTAGAGCTTTGGGAGAGAACTGAGCAAGCTCCAGTGGACCAAGAGGTGAAGAAAAGACGCTGGCGTTGGATAGGACACATTGAGAAAACTGGAGAACAATATAACTAGAATGTCTTGGCATTGGAACCCACAAGGGCATAGAAATAAAGGAAGGCCAAAAAACACAGTGAGAAGGGAGCTGGAGAATTAAGTTAGAAAGATGGAGAGGACATGGGGAGCGCTGCATGCGATAGCAAAGGATAGAACAACTTAGCGTGAGTTAGTTGAGGGCTTATGCTCCATTGGGAGCTAGAAAGGCAGAAGAAGAAGAAGACCAGTGGGGGTCAAAAGGGTCATTTATTGTATTTTATATTTCTGTGGACCTACATTACAGAAATGACACCTGATGATGATGACGATGATGATGAAAATACCTGGGCTTCTCTAAACTTCTCCACCCAGCCCCGAATGGATCCTGGGTCACTGTGAAAGGTGAAGGCTGACAGCGGGACATTGTATTCATTCATGTAAATTAACAGGAAGCTGTTTTTATCCTTCAGCACACTCATCACCAAATGGTCCAGTCGCATGGGTGGCCTGATCATTTTAAACCTCTCCATCTTCCTGTTGGACTTGCATATCAGTAGGAGATCCGTGAAGAGCAGGCAGTCAACATCCATCTGTAGGGGATCAAGGAGAGTCGGGTTATTTCAGAAAGATAAGCCAGCAGTGGTTGAGAGAAAATAGAACTGTGGTTTAGAGAAGACAGATCAACAGTGGTTGAGAGAAGATAGAACAACAGCGGTTGAGAGAAGATAGAACAACAGTGATTGATAGAAGATAGAACAACAGCAATTGAGAGAAGATAGAACAACAGCGGTTGAGAGAAGATAGAACAGCAGTGGCTGAGAGAAGATAGAACAACACTGGTTGAGAGAAAATAGAACAGCAGCGATTGAGAGAAGATTGAACAACAGTGGTTGAGAGAAGATAGAACAGCAGTGGCTGAGAGAAGATAGAACAACACTGGTTGAGAGAAGATAGAACAACAGGGATTGAGAGAAGATTGAACAACAGTGGTTGAGAGAAGATAGAACAGCAGTGGCTGAGAGAAGATAGAACAACACTGGTTGAGAGAAGATAGAACAACAGGGATTGAAAAAAGATAGAACAACAGTGGTTGAGAGAAGATAGAACAACAGGGATTGAGAAAAGATAGAACAACAGTGGTTGAGAGAAGATAGAACAACAGGGATTGAGAAAAGATAGAACAACAGGGATTGAGAAGAAATAGAGCAACAGCGGTTGATAGAAGATAGAACAACAGTGGTTGATAGAAGATAGAACAACAGCGGTTGATAGAAGATAGAACTACAGGGGTTGATAGAAGTTAGAACAACAGTGGTTGAGAGAAGATAGAACAATACTGGTTGAGAGAAGATAGAACAACACTGCTTGAGAGAAGATATTTGTCTCTACTTTTAAGTGTGGGAGTTGCCGTGGTGTAGCAGCTTGATGCCTGCCTGTGGATCGGAAGGTCATGGGTTTGGGTCTTGACAGAGCCAGACTTTTAAAAAAAATGACATTGACTCTTTGGTCGACCCAGCCTTGAGTGGGTACCAGGTGCAGTCGAGGGAAGTAAAGGTGGCCAGTGTGATGCTGACCACATCACCCACTGAGTGTCGACTGGACTATAAAATATAGATCAAGGCCTAATATTCCTGAAGTCGTCAAAAAGGGTCCTTTACTTTTTACATGTGCCAATTTATACTTCAGGATTTACTTATTATCTTTTTTTTTTTTAACGGCCGCCTGACGAATTATACTGCTGGACATTTGACAAAGCAGTGCTGACCTTGACATTCTGCCCTTCCTTCATTCGAAGACTGGACTGAAAAAGCAGACTACGAGGTCCATCCTGAAACCCTGGCATTGGGGCCAGGAGGTTAAAGTTTGCCACAAAACCTTGGATAATCTGCAATGATTTAGATTTAAGTTAGTGTCAAATCTTTCAAATACACACGTTAATTTAATGTTTTAATTCAGTATACAAATACAGAGAAGACAGGAATAATATTGCATATTCGTCACATTAGATCAAGGAGAAAAATATGATTAATTTATCGTGATTTAGTTCTGCACATCACTGCTGAGAATTTACATCTTCAAAAACCATGTGAAGTTCTCAAAGGAAAACAAAAATTATGTAGAAGCAGCAGAGATATGGTATCGTAGACAAAATATGAGAAGTTTGCCACAAAACCTTGGATAATCAAGAAGAAAAATATGAATTGATTTATCACGATTTAATTTGGCACATAACTGGTGAGAATGTACATCTTTAAAAACCATAAATAAATTAAAATTTTTATATGATTTAATAATATGATCAAAACTGTGGTAATAATTTGATTTCAGAAACAGAAGATGACAAAATCATCTGTGGCTTAGGCATTGCATATGCAATTTATAATTCCAAGATACCCGGTTAGATTCTAGCTGTGAGCAATCTGGCAACAGACTGCTTTGTTTTCTGACAATGGTACTGAGAGATTCATGTTCAGAAGCAAAAGCAAACTACTGAACGCAAAATGGTTCTAGTAATGTTTTTCACCCCAAACAAACCATGATTGGCCATTCATACATGATTGGCCCTTCATTCATGATTGGTGACCTTTCACATGTAGCAGTCTATATTACAGGGGAGTCACGTTGTCTTCAATGCTTTCACCGGCCATATCCCGTTATTTAGTTAGATAGTTAGTTGACATATTATCAACATCGCACATCCAACCATCCAGTCCATAAGGGCTCAGATCCCCTCTTCAGTATCTCCCTCAGTGTGTTCTGTGTTGGTTTACTGTTCTTCTTTGGGCCCCTGTGCAGTGCTCTTGTCTGGCTTCACCCCTTCTGGTGTTATGTTCATGTAGTCTCGTCAGTGTTGCAGATTCATAATCATTACTTGATTCACTTAATCGAGCTGCCTCTCTGAGGGCGTTCAGTATATCAGCTCTGTCCATTTGTTGTCTGTTTCCCACATCACACCAGCATGACCAAGTATGTAAAGGAATAAGGAGAAGTACAGAGTGAATTAAAACAATGACTGGATTATTTACTTTTGCACACTCATCATTTGGAGCTTCAATTGAGTCGAAAGGCTCCAAAGTTTTTCTCACAGCTTCTAGTCGTTTGTATTCTTCAATTCTTCTCAGACTGTTGTTGGCAGCCCCACACAGCTTGTTCACAGACAAGATCTGCAAGTAAAGCAAGAGGTTTCAGTTATAAGTAGCAAGATCCATGTATAGGTTCAAGGGCCCTAATTTTGGTGACAAATATAACAGGCCCCCACCCCCTGCCCCATGGATGTCAAAAAAGGTGATTAATTAGTCATCATCATCATCAATTTCCACTTCTGCCATTAAATGTTGTGGCGAGGAACAGTTCGCAGTTCATTGCCTAATGGGCAGCAATGGCTACTGTCATTCCGTGTCGGTGTAAAAGCTCTTTAATGTCATCAATCCATATTTTCCTATGGTGGCCTCTTGCTTTCACCGCAGAATTTTTTATGTGTAGCATCTGCGTTGGTAGGTGTTCTGGCTGCATTCTTACTAAATGACCAAACCACCTGATCTTTTGTTTCGCAATGAATTTGCTGCATGGTGTTGTTCCTACAGTATGACTAATACTATTATCTCTAAACTTTGTTTTGGATGATTAAGTTGGCAGCTTTTCTCAGGCATCTCATTTCACAGGTGTTATTTTTCCTAGGTTAGCCTTTGATTAATGTCCTAGTCTGGCACTGGTAGCACAGTGTTTGCATAATATGGTGTTTTTGTCTGTTTCTTGGAGCTCAAACTTATGTTTGGATGTCTTAATAATAGTGTCAGTTCATTTATTAGTGCACTGACTCATTGGCATCTTGTTTCTATTTCTGAATGTATTCTCTCATTCTCTGAGAATATACTTCCTAGATATTTAAATTCTTTAACTTGCTTCAGACAGGTAAAATTCAACCCTGATAGTAGTGGACTAGGCAATCTGGTGACCTGCCTTACTTCAGTTTTAGCAGTATTTATTTTCATGTTACTTCTTCTGCATTTTGAACTTAGCCTGTTCAAATCTTCTTGTAGTCTACTCCCCTTATTGTAGAACAGGCACTGATCGTCTGCAAATAGTAGCTCATTTACTGTGTGTGGATGACCAATTAGTGGTTTGCTAAAATTAAATATGTTGAGGGTGAAAGCAGAAGAAAAAGAAGCAGAAGTAACTAGAATTTATTAGTTCTCAAAGATGCCAAGAGGAGACCGGTATATTTTAGAGAACACAACCATCATCATTATCAAATGCTTTGAAAACTGTTGTAAGTGATCTTGCTTCTTCCCATGGTGTGATCTCCAACAGCTTGTATCAGTTCATTGGCTGACACTTTTCCATGCCTTGAGAAAGGGATGCCACGAACATTCTCTCAGTATCTTTCTCCTTTTCTCTTTCCATATATCTTTCTAATTATTATCATAAGAACATGTTAGACGATATAAACTGTTTCTTAATCTTTTGTCCTACTACTTATGCAATAAAACATCACAAGGAGGGGTATGATGTAGTTTTCTGTCTTTAGCTAGTCGCCCAGCATGTATTAAAGTCATATTGCATTTCTCTAAGGTCTCTTTTTACTCCCTCCTCCCAACTCTTTCTTGACCTTAGCTTGCTGTTCTCATGCTGTACGTTCTAGCTGCTGGCTGATTTTTTTGTTGTTGATCAGATGACCTAACCATTTGATTTTTTAAATGTTCTATTAACTCATTTACTGGGACTGTGCCTACCAGTGCCAGTGTTCTTAGTTCTTTGTTGGTGACTTTTATTTTGTTTTTCTGCTCATCTCAGGCCACATCTCATCTTTGCTTATTATAATAGAATAGGAGTCTTTTAAACTGTCTGTTGCTCTCTGAGATGCAGTATGGAGTTCAACAAAATAAGATGATACTGTAGAGGATTATCAATCTGACAAAATGTAAAGTACAGATGACAAAACTATTGCTCCCCTACAAAATAAAGACATCAGATTATTGCTTTCACATAAAATAGTGATAATAGGCCATTGCTTCCCCACAAAATAAAGAGAAAAAATCTTTGATTTCATATAAAATTAAAGATAACAAACCATTGTTTTTTCCCCACAAGAAGAATGATAACAAACCATTGCTTTCACATAAAATAAAGAAAACAAACCACTGCTTTCACATAAAATAAAGAAAACAAACCATTGCTTTCAGGTCTATCCTATCACTGTCCTTCTCTGTATATTTGAGGATGGCTCGCAGCAGAAGTGAGTACTTGAGAAGTCGAGGCATTGGCTGTCCAAGAATATCAGAAAATCTCAGGCGGTTGCACTGCTTCTGGGTTTCTGCCCACTGGATGTCATGACAGAAAGAATCATACCAGAACTTGATATCATGTCCATAATATACAATATGTAGATTATTTTGTGCTGTATGAAACTGAAGTCAAAATTCTAATCTCATTCACCAAAAGTGACACATTGATACAACACTGATAATGTCAACAGAAATATAAAAGAAGGTATGTCAGTAGGAAGGTAGGTATGATAGGGGGAGGGGAGGGTAGGTATGCAGGTGGGAAGGTAGGTATGTTGGTGGTAAGGTAGGTATGTTGGTGGGAAGGTTGGTATGTTGGTGGGAAGGGTAGGTATGTTGGTGGGAAGGGTAGGTATGCTGGTGGGAAGGTAGATATGTTGGTGGGAAGGTAGATATGTTGGAGGGAGGGGTAGGTATGTCGGTGGGAAGGGTAGGTATGTTGGTGAGAAGGGTAGGTATGTTGGTGGGAAGGGTAGGTATGTTGATGAGAAGGGTAGGTATGTTGATGAGAAGGGTAGGTATGTTGGTGGGAATTGTAGGTATGCTGGTGGGAAGGGTAGGTATGCTGGTGGGAAGGGTAGGTATGCTGGTGGGAAGGTAGATATGTTGGTGGGAAGGTAGATATATTGGTGGGAAGGTAGATATATTGGAGGGAGGGGTAGGTATGTTGCTGGGAAGGGTAGGTATGTTGGTGGAAAGGGTAGGTATGTTGGTGGGAAGGTAGATATGTTGGTAGGAAGGGTAGGTATGTTGGAGGGAGGGGTAGGTATGTTGGTAGGAAGGTAGAATACTCAGGAGTTTAGGTATGTTGGAGGGTAGGGTAAGTAGGCTGGTAGGTACGTTAGTATAAAGGCAAGAAAGCATATGTGTAGGGGGCAGCCAGGTGGATAGGTAACTGAGTAAATAGAAAAGCCATTCCTTGTCAGCACTACCACACACACACAAAATTTGACTTACGACACATCATTCAGCAGGTCCTTTACAGAACGGTCTCACCTGCCTGAAAGAAGTACAGACCCTTGCCATCTTTCCCGTCTCATGCACACTCTCCAAAGTGTCTCTTCTGACCTGTGCCCATCTTCATGCTGGTCGACCTCCTCCCTCTTTTACCCACAACCATGCCCTCCCCCACTGTCCTCTCCAACCACACTGTTTCTTCTTCACTTTCACCGACTGTCCAGCAGAAAGTTTTGGGCATTCGCCCACCTCCCGACTTTAGTCTTCTTCCAGAATCTGAGGATTGTGCACATCCTGTTCCAAGATCTGGCTTATTAGTATGCAGTCACTTCATTCCTTGCCTCTCAGGTTGATGTATCATAAATGTCCCCTTGTCGAGTGCAATTTTTTTTAACCCCACCCTGGCTCTTGCCGGGGCCCTTAATATTTAAAATTAGTTGTGTATCCTTTACAGGACATTGCAAAACCAGCCCCAGCACTTTCTGGCTGTTGTGGTTTTTCTAGGCAAATTTACGCCCAGTAGTTTGCCATTGCTTTTTGGACGGTGGGCTCTTGGTACCACACTCGAAACCATCGCAAGACAGAGGGGATCAAACCTGGCACCCCGACATTATGAAGCGCATTCGCAACGCCTAAGCCACAGACGCCGACGGCCCTTAATATAGCCGGGTGATAAATATGAGTCTGAACGTGGTTTCTGGGACTTCTCCATGGGTGATCCTCATCCGCATTGGGGCACTTTGTGTCACAGAGTATTTATCACTTTGTGTGATGTCCTGGTGGGGTACAACTTACATAATGTCGATGTACCCGAACTTTAAAGGAAGCCCCCAATAAGTCAACTCCTACGACATCCTTGTTGTGGAGGCAGTGGGTCTATTTCTGTTTTCCCCTCAATGCAGAACTGGAACTCACAGTGGGACAGTGATATTTAATTTAGCCAAGGTATTTCATTTTCTGAAGCAAGATGCTGTTTACTAGGCAAATGTTTCTTGATGTTCAGATTTTGTTGCACGTCATTATTTCTTGTCTTCTTGGTCTTTGGTATTCTAAGAATCATTCTATAGTTTTTTAGTTCAAAAGTTGCTATTTTCTTCCTGAAAGATTGTGACACAGTCTACAACTCAAATCGAATGTTGCTACAGGAACTATGCATGCTCTCAAAATTGTTTTTGATTTCTTTACTGGATCTTGACAAAAGGCTTTTAATGCTGTTAAATCAGACACACATACACACTGGAAGTATTTACTTGAATTAGACACACATATATTGACAGTGTCTCTTTAACATACAGACTCATACCTTGGAGATGCAAACATTGACAGTTTTTACTTGATTCACAGACACACACATTGACATTATTTACTTCAGTTAGACACTGACACATTGACCCCATTTACCTGAATAAATGTTCTGAAGAGGTCATTGCTGTCCATGCATGACTTGGCATAGTCCAGGCACGATTTGTGTTCTATAAAATACTTGAAGTAAACTTGGAACAGGATAGGGAACTGAAATACCATAAACATATATATAGAGATAAGAACATTTACATGTTATAGATTCCTTTGAAGTCAGTACCTCTGCCTGAGAGGCAAGGAACCAACAGTCTGCATTCAATTAAGTAAGACCTGTGCGTGGAATAGATGTGCATGCAACACTGATGTTCCGGAACTGGACTAGAGTCCAGAAATGGACGAACAACCAGAACTTTCCACTGGAGTTTACAGCTGGTTAACGTGAAGAAGAAGACATGTTACAAATCAGGGTTATTCAACTAAATTTATGCAAAGGAAAAAGTTGGAAAAATGAGGATCGTAACGAACCAGAGGGCAGAGCCCCAGCATAGAAAGATCATTAATCTTATCAATACAGTACAACTGGCAATGGTCTGTGGACCACCTGCTAGGCATCTGCAGGTCAAATAAATAATTTGATTCAAAAACCAACATCACAGCACTCTGGGAATTCCCATAATACTTAACGCTCGAGGAAAGGTGGAAGTATAATCAAAATGCTAGTGGCACCGCTGGTGTTGGAACTCTGCACTGGCTGCTGTAGATGACAACATTCACATTTCTCATGCCAGATAAATCTCATGGGCCGCCACTTGAATAACCCTTTCATAGATGACAACATTTACATTGCTCATGCCAGATGGGCCACCACTTGAATAGCCCTTTTATAGATGACAATTTTCACATTTCTCATGCCAGATGGGCCACCACTTGAATAGCCCTTTTATAGATGACAATTTTCACATTTCTCATGCCAGATGGGCCACCACTTGAATAGCCTTTTTATAGATGACAATTTTCACATTTCTCATGCCAGATGGGCCACCACTTGAATAGCCCTTTTACAGATGACAACATTTACATTTCTCATGCTAGATAAATCTCACAGGCCACCACTTGAATAACCCTTTTATTGATAACATTAATACATCTCATGCCAGATAAATCTTTTGGGCCAACACTTGAATATTCCTTTTATAGATGATAAGTCACATTTTCAGGTATTCATATCTGCGGTCACTACTAAAAGGACACATGGCATAGTAACATCTAGGCTGTGATCTTTGCCTTTTGGCCCAACAAATCTGATGACAGCAGACTCCAAATTAGCCCACTTTTACATAATGTTTATTCAGTGGCACTGGGTGTATTCCGTTCCCCCTCCCTCTCCCAGGTGGGTGGAGGAACCCAAATCCTGTAACCCACATAGCTAAAAAAAAATTCGTATCACATTTTTTATAGCTGGTAACATTCACATTTTATAGATGGTAACATTCAAATACTTTTGTAAAAACTGCACTCGTGAACAGAATGATACAGTCCATAAAACAATCTCTCTCTCTCTCCCCCCCCCCCCCAACCTTCTAATTATGAGACAAATATGCCCTCAAAATATATTACTATATGCATAAACTGAAGCAAACTAGAGTCACCCCTCTATGCAACCACCCATCTGTGTAACCATCCAACTATGTACCCAGTCACTTGTCTTTGGACATACCCATCAAAACATTTAGGCACCTACCCATTCATTCATCTATGCACCCACCCACGCATCCAGCTATGCAACCACCCCTCCATTCATCTATGCACTTACTAACCCATCCACCTATGCAAACACCCAGCCATCTATCCATCCATGCATTCATCTATGCACCCACTCAACCATCTATCCATCATTCATCTATGCACTTACTAACCCATCCACCTATGCAAATACCTACCCATACATCTATCCATCCATCTATGCACCCACCCATACATCTATCCATCCATCCATCCATTCATCTATGCACTTACTAACCCATCCACCTATGCAACCACCCAGCCATCTATCCATTCATGCATTCATCTATGCACCCACTCATCCATCTATCCATCCATCCATTCATCTATGCACTTACTAAACCATCCACCTATGCAACCACCCACCCATCCATCTATCCATCCATCCATTCATCTATGCACCCACCCATACATCTATCCATCCATCCATTCATCTATGCACTTATTAACCCATCCACCTATGCAACAACACACCCATCCATCTATCCAACCATCCATTCATCTGTGCACCCACCCATACATCTATCCATCCATCCATTCATCAATGCAAATCTACCTATGAAACCACCCATCCATACATCCACCTAATCAACCACCCTCCAACCCATCCATCCATTCATCTATGCACCCACCCATACATCTATCCATCTATCTATCCATCCATCCATCCATCCATCCATCCATCCATCCATCCATCCATCCATCCATCCATTCATCTATGCAAATCTACCTATGCAACCACCCAGCCATCTATCCATCCATGCATTCATCTATGCACCCACCCATACATCTATCCATCCATCCATTCATCTATGCACCCACCTGTACATCTATCCATCCATCCATTCATCTATGCACCCACCCATACATCTATCCATGCATCCATTCATCTATGCACCCACCCATACATCTATCCATCCATGCATTCATCTATGCAAATTTACCTATGCAACCACCCATTCATACATCCACCTAAGCAACCACCCTCCAACCCATCCATCCATTCATCTATGCAAATCTACCTATGCAACCACCCAGCCATCTATCCATCCATGCATTCATCTATGCACCCACCCATACATCTATCCATACATCTATCCATCCATCCATCCATTCATCTATGCACCCACCCATACATCTATCCATCCATTCATCTATGCACCCACCCATACATCTATTCATCCATCCATTCATCTATGCACCCACTCATACATCTATCCATCGATCCATTCATCTATGCACCCACCCATACATCTATCCATCTATCCATCCATCCATTCATCTGTGCACCTACCCATACATCTATCCATCCATCCATTCATCTATGCACCCACCCATACATCTATCCATCCATGCATTCATCTATGCACCCAACCATACTTCTATCCATCCATCCATTCATCTATGCACCCACCCACACATCTATCCATCCATGCATTCATCTATGCACCCACCCTCCAACCCATCTATCCATTTATCTATTCACCCACCCACCCATCCAACTATGCAACCACCCACCTACACCCAACTAACATACATGATCTACGAAGCCCTCCTTGGACAGGAGAGGGTCCAGGGGCTGGTGGCTTTCTCTGCTGGACTGGAGGATGGGCAGGAGATGGTGCTGCCAGAACAAACAGTTGCACTCATAGATCTTGTCGATGTTGCTGAACAGACGCTCCGACTCAATCTGGAATAAACAACAAACTGATTTATGATGTCTGGGACATAGCTTGCAGCACCATTGATGGGTGGAGGGATTGACTGATGGATGGATGGATGGATGGATGGATGGATGGATAGATGGATTGACCGATTGATAGATAGACTGAGTGACAGGAAGATTGATGGATGCATTGATTAATTTACTGTTTGATTGATGGATGAATGGATTAATTGATTGACTAACCAATGACTTGATTAACTGACAGATGAACAAGTGACAGTTTAAAGATAAGAGGATCCACTCCACTGCATCAGAATTAATCCTATATGGCTAGACCTAAGAAACGTTTTACTTTTAAACCACAGCAACCACATCACAATCGTTTGTACCATCATCAGTATCATCACAACAATCATTGATAGTATTAAATGTCAGTTTGAATTCAAATGATGTTGATTGCTTATGGTTTCTTTCTAAGACTTTACAGATAGAATCTGAAAGGGAATTGCATCAACTTATTGATAATAGTAACTTGAAAAAATATACAAGCTTTGGAAGTAGAACTTTTCAAAAGGTCCTAAGTATACAATAGCAGAAATCACATCACAACAAACGATGTTCACTGTACCACCACTCAACACATCAGCAATTATGAACCTCTTTTTAAGAACAGTTAAAAAAAAGAAAAAAAAGAAAATGCAGTGGTACTGACAGGTAACAAAATCACAAATCAAAATCACAGGGCTCAGTTATGTTATATTGTGTTATCAAAATTGATGTCAGTGCTCATTGGGCATTCCCATGTGTGCTCAGTCCTCTGATGCAGCAGCCACTGCAAGGTACTTCTACTCATTGTTTCCATGAGAAGTTAGTTATAATGTCTCTTATCTCAGCCTGAATGGTGGCATAGATGTGCTCCACTGTGCTTTACTCCCATGTCACGCAATCATATTAGTGTCAGAGACTCGTCATTATCTACTAGCCCAGTCCGTACAGTGTTGACAATATCTGCTCTGTCCTTGCTTCTTCCCACATCCGTTGGTGCATTGCTTGCCAGTTGGTCCGCTCGCTCGTTACCCTCATTACAGGACTCAGTAAAAGGAGGAGAGGAGATGCAGCAGATCAAGGAAAACTCAAGTACAGAATTTGGCTGACTAGACAGGCCTCAGACATACAAACTTCAAGTCCACTGCATTTGACCGACAGAGGTGGTGGGAACTCAACAGCAATTAATGACCCAATGATGTATGTTATGGGAGTTTGATAATTAATCAAATGTAACAAACTTCTGGTAATGTCCCTCGACAACACAAAGGGGTAACAAACACCCCACTAACTCTCCAAATTACTTTGGTTAAGCTGTTAAATAACCTGATATATAAGAAAACATTTTGTAAAAGCAAGCCAAGTTGACATCTGTTGGAGGCAACAAGAATTACATTGTACTCTGTGAGTTCACTAATAAATTTAGAACTAACTCATTAGACACATTCCAGCTGCAAATGTCTAGTCTAAAGGGAGCAGAGACATGTCAACTGTCGATCAGATAGAGATAACTTGGTGTTTCATGTTGGAGGAGGTTTGAAGTTTGAACAACTGATCAACATCATGGAACACAGGTAGTAACCCACAAGTGCTCAGTTCTTCTTCTAAGTCAAATCGTGAGTCTGAGTTTCATGTTGGTACATCCTGTAGCTTCTTTTAATTCTAAACTTTTACCAGCTCCCCATACTAGCACAGATTTCACTACAATGAGCTGTGAAAAACAGCATAGATTTGGAATATCTCAACTCAGCAGTGCAAACATGCATGTCCCTGCTGCATAAAAGAAATCATAAAAAAACTTGCTTAAGCAATGCAAAGATGCAACAGTATGAAGAACCTACGGCACAGTATCTGCACATGAGTTACTATAAACAGTTTGAGGTCATGTGTCATTCCCATGGCAACTTATGGATGTGAGTCCCGGACTACTCTTTTTCAATCAGTGAAGAAACAAATGTGTGATTTTGAATAGAAATGTCCCAGGGGGGCCTGAGTGGTCCCAAGGCCTGGAGTGCTGGAGGTACCGGGTTCAGGACCCGGCGAAGGCTGGGATGTTTTCATGTGGACTTCTAGTAATTTCCTCTGGTCTCTGGGTAGTAAGATCGGACGCCCATGTGTATTGTTGCGCACGTAACAAAATCCCTTGGCAGCTGGAAATCAAAAAGAGTAGCCTAACCACAAAATTTGGAGTTGAAAATGTACTCAAAGTATTTCAGGATCCTCGCCAGTGCTACGGAGTTCGTGCGCTGCGCTGAGATTCCTTGGACTCAGACTTGAGTTAGAAGTAGAACAGAACACTTATAGGTTACTATCCTTGTGCCATGATGTTGATCTGCTGTTCAACTCTCCACGGGGTTTAGCATCACAGGCCCAGGGGGTAGTAAAGAAAGTAATAAAATCGGCGCATCATGCGTTCATTGGGCTTCTAAGTAGGAACCTATGAACGTATGATGTGTTCATTGGGACTCAAAGAGTTAAAACCTAAACTTAAGAAGTGTCCCAGAGAAATTCTTCTTGAAAGAGAATGGACCAAGAAGAAGAAAAAAGCATAAACATCCTAAATGATCTCAGCACCAATAACTGGCTGGTAAATAGCATCCTGTCCTGAAAGCTGAAGTATTTCGGCCATGTTAAACGTCACTGTGACCTGGGAAAAAAATCAGAATAGGGAGTACAACTTCCAGAAAGTGAGGTAGAGGGTGACCTCCACAGAAGTGGATACAATTGAAGATGCTCTCCGTGTGGGTTCCGGGGCCCCATTGCGGGGAAAAAAAGAATAGACCCACTGCCTGCCCAAAAGCATGTCAAAAGAGTCAACTACAAGGGAGAGCAAGTAACCAACAGTCTGCATGCAAATGAGTCAGACCTGTAAAACAGATGTGCACGCAACACTCAGTTTCTGGAACAGCACTAGAGTCCAGAAGTGTATGAACCACCAGAACTTTCGCCCGAGTTTAAAGCCGGTGAACGCGAAGAAGAAGAAGAAGAATTGAAGATGCAATGGCTATGTAAGCACACAGTTCTGGAGATCTGGCTAGAGATGGAAAGAGTCCCTGATGAGAGCAACGTTCTGAAAGGAACCTGCTGACTGATGATGTTGATGATGAGCTGAGATGGAAGGGATAATGAAATCTCATCATAATCATCAAATTCATGGCAGTCCAGGTAAGTATTACCTACATTATATAATTCTGTCATTTATTATTTATTTTTGGGGTTTATTAGTCTACATAATATTTGGGACTCGCTGTGGCAGAGCGGCTGGAGGCTTGCCGTGGATTGGAAGGTCATGGGTTTGCTCCCTGGCAGAGCCCGACTTTAAAAAAAAAAATGACATTGGCTCCCAAGTCAACCCAGCCTTGAGTGGGTACCAGGTGCAGTCCAGGGAAGTAAAGGCGGCCGGCATGATGCTGACCACATCACTCATTTTGTGCCGACTGGTCTATAAAATATAGGTCTAGCCCTATACGCCTAAAGGCGTGGAAAACGGTCCTTAACTTACTTACATAATAGTTGAATACAGTAGTTTATTCATTTCAGAGTCACTGACCTCATTGAGAAAAGACTCCAGCTGAACGTTCATGAGACAGTTCTGAAAAACCTGCAACAAGACATTCACAAAGTCAGTTTCCATAAGTCATTCATTGTACCAGTTAGGTAGTCTTCCCAAATGACTCACTGTTAAATCAAAGAATCATTTTTTATACTGCCTGTTGCCTGTTTGTTTCTTTGCCTATTATTACATCTGTCTGCCTTTTTGTCTGTCTGTATATCTGCCTATGTACTAGTCTGTCTGTCTTTATTAATCTGCCTGTCTTTATGTGTTTTTAAATATCTGCTTCTGTATGTATTTGCATATATATCTATTTTCAGTTAGTAGTTTTCATATGTCTGCACATATTTCTGCATATATATATATATATATATATATATATATATATATATATATATATATATATATATATATATATATATATATATATATAATTTACACTTTATATTTGTTCATATACGTATATTTCTGTGAAATATTTATAATACTGTGGTTTATTCCAAGCTGTGGATGGGTACAAAATCAGTTCTCATGGTTTTTGGACAATAGTAGAGAGTCGCACTGTGGAAGAGATAGGGGCCTCACCACATAATATTCACAAAGAGAACAGTGATACATTGTAGCCACCCTCCATTGTGGAGACGGCACCAAATTTTACATACTTATGATTGCCACTTTCCGTCTCTCCAGACGATAGTGTTATATTGCGCTATGAGGAGGCATGAGACTCACAGCCCATGGCGATGGCGAGTGTGACTAGCAAGACCCGCCCAGGCCAAGAAAAGTCTTCCACAATGATAGCAAGGGATTTCAGGACCATTGTTGTCAACATTTGTGTTTAATCCGTTTCTTTTCAGACACTCAGCTCTCATCCTTTCTGCAGTCATTTCTTCCTTCAGTCTCATTCCCTTCCTGATATGCCCTTTCCACACAACACTGTTCATGGCGTTTTGTTTTCATGAGTCCATCTCAGTACCTATATCATTCATATCCTGCTTGCACACATCTTTATACCGTAGTAGAGGTCAGCCTCGACATCTTCTTCCTGCCTTTTTTAATTCACCATAAAGGATGTCCTTAGGGACTCTGCCATCCTTCATTCTCCAGGTGTGACCCAGCCACCTGAGCCTTCGTAGACTGAGCATGGAAAAGACTGTTGTAGTACCTGCTCTTTCCAGTACCTCAGTGTTTGAGATCTTCTCCTGCCACTTAATTCCAAGTATTCTTCTTAGGCATCATATTTGAAAGCTATTTAACCGTCTCTCTTGGTGCAAAAAGGTTTACCAAGTTTCACTGCCATTAAGCAGAGTGCTGAGAACACAAGCCTGATAGACAAGGGTTTTTGTTTTAATTGTGAGCTTTCTGTTCTCCCAAACTCTTTGTCAATCTGCTCATTGTTGTTGCTGCTTTACCTATCCTGATGTTAATTTCTTGGTCAAACGATAGTTTACTATTTACTGTGGAGCCCAGATAAGTAAAATGGTCTACTGTCTCAAGCTCTTCACCATCAATGTAGACTGTAGGTCTGTCATTGACACCTTGCACCATAACCTTTGTCTTCTTTTTACTCCTCTGAATGGTGGGTTATTGTGGCGTCATCTGCAGCTCTCTGATAAGTACCTTTCTTGTCCTGCTTTTGGCCTTCAGTCTGCAAGCATTGTAAAGACTGCCATCAGATCAAGAATGAATGAATATACCACCCTCCTGATCTGCATGTGTCAAAAGAAGTGACAAGTAAATTCCAAAGAGGGCAGGAGCGAGTACACACCCCTGTTTCACTCCATTTTTGATTAAAAACTCCTCCGATGTTACACCATCAAAGTTGATTGTACCTTTCATACCCGTGTGGAACTCAATAATACTCAGTAGAGTAGGTGAACACCCTATCTTCTTCAGCGTGTTGAACAGACCTTTTTGACTAACCAAATCAAATGCCTTGGTAAGATCAATAAAAGCAACATACAGTGATACGCCTATATATATATATATATATATATATATATATATATATATATATATATATATATATATATATATATATATATATATATATATATATATATATATATATATATATATATATGTTTCTTTGCCTGTTCTGTATGTTTATACACATATGTGCCGCCACTCTGTATGTATGTCCATCTGCCTGCCTAATTGCCATATGTCTGTTTTCACTGAAACAGTATGCACATGTGCATGTTTGTATACATGTGTGTATGTCTCTCTGTTTGTGCATGCATGCTGTGTGTATACTACTCACCTCAATAATGACCCGTATCTGTTTGATGTAAGAGACCTCAGTGTGTAGCAGTTCCCAGACAGCTTCCTGGTGCTCATGCTGCTTCTTGGACAGAACCTGTGTAGTTTTTTTATGAAATATTTACTGCATTCTGCTAATTCACATTGGATAAATATGTAACATTCTATATATTTTTTCTTCCTCCCTCCCTCTCTTTGCGTCTGTCTATTTTTTTTAACACTATCTCTTTGTTTCTTTATATCCCCCCCACCCCCTTTTTTTTGGCTTTATATTTTCACTGGGTCGGCTCTGTGGCTAAGTCGATGTGAACGCTTCGTAATGCCGGGGTGCCGCGTTTGATCCCAACAGCGGGCCATGCGCCTTGCGTTGGTTTCGACAGTGGTATCGAGAAGCCGACCGTCCAGAGAACAATAGCAAACTACTGGACGTAAATTTGCCTAGAAAAATTGGGGTTGGTTCTGCAACGTCCTGTAAAGGATACGCAACTAACCTATTTTCACTTGTATTTCTGTTAGTAGTCATTATTATCATGAAAACAAATGGTTAAGTCCCCGTTTTAAATCTATATTTTCTTGTACTTGAAAAGCTAGGGGGAGGAGGAAGAATAGCTTATCATGTTTTTTTCTTCTTTTATTTATTACCAGTGACATGCAAGTGAAAGCAGGCCCGCTGACACAAAGGAAATATTTGTGAGAAAATACAGGGATAGGGGCCCCCAACCAGTTTCTCCTCGCCACCTAGGCACACAATTGAATAGGGGTGCTTAGACCCATTCAGAACCCCACCCTCAATAATTCAGAAAACATGGGAGGTGGTGGGTCTAAGACCTCACCCCTTCCACACCCTTAAAACCTGACACATTTTATAGCCAAATAAGGGGGTGGGGGCCTCATGTGGTCTTGAGTACACCCCCCCCCCCAAAATAAATAAATTTGGAAGATGCTTTCTTTGACGTGGACAGAAATGATCTTTTAAAGAATTTGTTTACTACATGTATTTCAAACACAACCGAATCACCTGGCTATATAAACAACATGTCTTGGTCACAGTCCTTGACCTTGGACAACTCCTCAAAAACCCTTCGCTCTGTTCGTTTTGTCCTGTCTACCATTCACCGTGGGGTCAGTATGCTCCTCGTGAATCCTGGAGTTTTTATTCGTTCGTCACAATGTCCTTGTCGGAAACTCCCGTGGGCTGTTGAACGAGTAGTCGCTAAGCAGTCATCTAAGTGCTAGTCTGTCGTTCACTATCATTATCTACTGTCGTCTCCTAGCCACACAGAACCTTAACATATGTGCTGGATGGCAAATAAATATAAACATGTTCTTAAAACAATATGAAATGTAAAAACATATACTTTCATGGAGAGTGTCTATACTTCGCTAGAGGAAGTCTGTTAATTCACTTACACAATTAGTGGAAAGAGGGAGTGAGGTGGCTGATCCCCCCCCCCCCCCCCTGGTATTCGGGGGGGGGGGGGATGTTGAATGTTGATGGTACCAGTAACTGTCTGATTGTATATCCGTCTTAGTCTTCCCCTGAGTGTTGAGTGTCGGCCAGATCCCCTGGTAACTCTTCACAGCGTCATTCTCCTTAAACCGTTATGATCTATCTGAGCCTCCGCACTGTTCACTCGCTCCCAAAGGGCCCTCACAATATCTCATTTGTAAACTGAGGGGTGGGGGGGGGGGGCCTTAAGTGGCCTGAGCCACCATATTTTGGCACATATAAGTGAAAGTTTGGGGCGATGAAGGCCAGTTTTTATTAAGCTCATGGTAAAAGTAAACAGTAAGGACCTTTTATATGCCAGACTAGCATTAGGCATACGATGCTGAACTTATATTTTTTTTATAGACCAATTGCTATATGATGGTCAACATCATTGCATTCACCTTCACTTCCCATGATCTTCTTCTTCTTCTTCGAGTTCACCAGCTGTAAACTCTGGCGGACAGTTTTGGTTGTTCACACACCTCTGGACTGCAGTCCTGTTCCAGAACCTGAGTGTTGCGTGTGCATCAGTTTTACAGATCTGACTCAGTTGTATGCAGTTTGCTGGTTCCTTGCCTCTCAGGCAGATGCACTCCGACTTTGAAGGAGCTCCCAATTAGTCGACTCCTACGACATGCCTTTGGATAGGCAGTGGGTCTATTCTTGTTTTCCCTTTAATAGGGCCCCGGAACCCACACAGGGACCATGATAGTTAACTGATGCCCATCTTAGAAACAAGATCAATTATTCAGCTGCGGCTAGGAATCGAACCCGAAGCCTCCATAAAAGAGCACAGCCACTACAGTACCATTGTGAGATAATGATCAGTGAGCGACATTCAACCCTAACGAGCGATAAACACCCGGTGACACAAAGTGCCACCATTCGGATGAGAATCCCCAAGACCAAGTCCTAGAGATCCCGTTCAACCATTATATTATATTAGGGCCCACGATGACAGCTGGGGTGGGGTTTTAAAGTAACAAACAAATTGCTTCCATGTTTTTCGATAACGATGAACATAAGATGCTGCAGAAAAGTTGCCATCTTAACCATCCAAGACAAAATTAGAAATGATATTATCAGACAGACTGCAGGAACAACACCATGCAACAAATTCACTGAGAAACAAGAGCTGAAATGGTTTGGTCATTTAATAAGAATGCAGTATACTACCAACGCAGGTACTACACCTGAAAAGATTGGAAGTGAAATCAAGAGGCCGCCCTAGGAGAAAATGGACTGATGACATTAAAAAGCTTCTAAATCAACACGGAATGACAATATCCATTGC